GGGGTCACATTTAGTGGTGTGTTCTTACAGGCACGCACAGGAAACCCCCAGGTGTTAGCTGGTGACAGAGGGGGTGCTGGGCCAGGGGCTGACAGCTCTGCTCCTTAGTCCGGGGCGTGACACATGTGCCCGTCTCCAGGAAGGCTCGTGCCTCCCCTCGCTCTTTCACCACAGAGTGGGTCGGAGGCAGGTACAAGCCAACACAGCACCCCACGGCCCTGCGGCCCCCTCTGGTCACTTACGGGCTTCTGGATGCTCGACTGGTTGATGGTGAAGCTGCTCTCGTCCTGTTTAAAAAGCGATACGATCTCCTCCGGGCAGGAGTAGACAGCCCACTCTTCCGTGCTTGCCGGCAAATCTTCCAGCCGCTTGTTGGGAACAGGGGTTTGAGACTGTGAAGGCAAGACTCTGAGGGTGAGTTTACCAAGCGGGGCCAGAAAGCGTGTGTGAAGCTGACGTGAGCCTCTGCAAGATGCGTTCTTGGGGTGCTGAGGGGATCCACACACCCTGGAGCCCCATGCAGCGGCCCCTCTCCCTGGGCTGGGTGGCCACATTCGGGTTTTCTTTTGAAGTCCTGGACACCCGCTGCTCAGTGCATAGGGTGCCTAGTATCCAGTCTACTTGGGTGCCCACTTCTAGAACGCCCTGTGGACAGGCCAGCACCCTGGCAGCCAGGCTCCATGGCACCTCAGTGAACACAGGGGGAGTGAGTGCCCAGGCCTCCTGCCAGGCCGCCGGGTGGGCGTCCGTTCTGAGTGCTGTGGCTCCTGCCGTTCAGCCCCCAGACGAGCAGCTCCTATTCCAGGGCGGAGGCCTCGTGTGCACACCCGGCCCCCACGTGCCTTCCTCCTGCCCAGGGGTGTCCCAGACGTCAGCACGCTCAGGCCCCAGGTTGTACTGACAGTGTGTGCAGCCTGGCCCGAGTCCACGCCTCACCCCTGCCCTGTGGCTGGTGACGATGGCCTGACGGCATAGGCGCCAGCACGGGGAGACCAGCTCGGTGTCCCCACCCTCTTCCCGCTCTCTGACCTTTTCCTTCCTCTCCTTGTTTTTCTCCTTCTCCTTCTTCGGTAACAACAAAGGGGAACTGGTTGCTGTGAGAGCTTTGCTTTCTGAAATTGATTGTCCTGCTGTCAACAACGAAATCTGAAAAAAAGAAAAGACAGACAGTCCCAACTCGTAACACAGCTACAGACATAGGCCCAGCTTCTTGCTGCCCACTGGGAATTGGAAGCGCTGCATCTACTCTGTCACACAGCAAGGCCAGGAAGTGACACCCACCCTGGGTGATGGGGCGTGGCTGCTAGGGGGCAAAGGCTGGGGCAGCGTCTTAGGAGGGTACGAGGCCAACTTGGAGTGGGTCCAGGAGGTCCAGGAGTTTCCCCTGCACAAGAGGCCAAGGATAGGAGAGGGATGAGAGTTGGTCAGGGGTCAAGGGTGAGCTTTGCATCTTCTGTTTTGTTATTGCTGGTGAGGTGGCCACATAGAGAGAAGACTGATGCCAAGAGAGCAGATCACGCTGCCACCCTTAAGACTGTCTTAAGACTGTCTGAAGGATTCTGCTCTCTTTAAATGGCAGCTGTGTGTCCTGAGGGGGGTCCTGGAGTGGCCAACTCGATTGTATTTCCTGAGGGGGGCCCTGGAACAGCCCACGCAATGCCTTCCCTGGTCGGGAGGGCATGGCCTAGAGTGAGGCATGGGTCTCATGTGCCTCCCAGCCTTGTGACCAGCCGGCCTCACCTGCCAGATGTATCTGATGAAGGTGTAGGCTGTCAGGCAGCAGTCCTGGTACTGAGGTGAGCTTGGGGACAAGATCAGCGCCAGCAGGATGTGGGCACAGACTAGCACGTCCAACTGCCTCACGTCCCTGATACTCTCCAAGGATACCGTCTTTGCCTCCTCCATCGCCGGGAGTGTGTCCGGGGTCTCCGGGGCTGCTTGAAGGGGCAAGTGTCCCTCTGACAATGGGGTGGCTAGGGGTTGGCCCTCTAGCCAAGGAGGCCTGCAGCACTTCTGTGGCCTCCCGTTGGCAAGGAACAGTGCTCAGTGCCCGCTGCCCTGTTGGCTGAGCCTCCCTTCCAGGGCCAGCTGTGTGTGCTCTGGGCTCTGTCTCCTCTCAGCCTGCTGCCACCCTCATGAGGTTCCCACAAGAGTGGCTATGGGGTCCCCTCCTAAGTGCTGCCCCTGGAGGGAAAGACCCCCCAGGGTCCCCCACAGCCCTCATGGGTCTGTACCCAGACTAACCACACTGGGACTGCCAGGTGGGCCTGGGCACAACGGGTCCCCAAACTCCCGATGACTCTGGATGATTCCAGAGCATTGCATGGCCGCCCCTCCGGGCACCATCGGGCTCAGCAGACCCCATCTCAGTCTAAAGTAAAGCCCTGCACGCTGCCAGCTGCCGTGAGCTGGGGCTGAGAGCTAGCACTGGGCACTGGGCGGAAGTGAGCGCTGCCACCCTGGTGTTCATTCGTTCATTGCTGGGACAGGGAGGCTTCGGCACTTCCCAGCACGATCCCAGGCTGGAGAGCCCAGCGGGGTCCATGCTGTTCCACACACCGACTCAGCCCTCCTCCCACGAAGAATTTGCAACCCACAGGGTGGATCTGAGCAACATAGGTGCTCTCTCCCTGAGTCGGGCTCTAAGGGGCCAGGCCTGTTGGAAGCGCAGCTCGCCTTCCCCAGGCTGAAGGACTGAGGCCCACGATGCTGCTGAAGCACAAGGAGCCATCCTCACCTCTGGGCTCGGCGGAGGCAGCGCGGGCGGGCTGCATGGCCAGCAGGATCTCTATGGCCCACCTGAGGTGGAAGAGGACATCTTCCCTCGGGGCCTGATGACAGTAAAGCCACTCGCCCAGCTCCAGGATGTAGTCCACCTTCAGCCACTTGCTCTCAGGTTTCTTGGGGAGCAAAGAACAGGTGATCATGGGGGACCTCCTACTGAGAGACCAGTGCTGGAGGCTGGGTTTCTGCTGGCCAGGCTCCGGTCCCCACGCTGGACTATATGGCCTAGTCACAGTGAGCAGGTCTGTGCTGCTCATTCTCTGTACTGTGTGTAGGGAGCACCTGGGCTGCCCCTGCCATCCCTCTGCTGGCTGTCCCTCCCGTTCCTCCGCCGGCTGCCCCTGCTGTACCTCACACCCAGCTCGTCCGTTCCTGGCCTCACAGCAGCCACACACAATGCACCCCGGGAGTTTGGCCATCTGCTACCTGTGCTCTCACCTGTGCACTGAGGCTCGGCTCCTGCCCTCCCCCTGGGCACCTGTCTAATGGGGGCTCAGGAGCAAGCAGCAGCAGAACAAACAGATTCAGAGCTCAGCCCAGTGATGGCACATGGGCAGAGGTGATGACATGCAGCCACAAGGGCCGGGCACAGCTCAGTGCTACGGCACACAGGCAGAGTGATGCCACACAGCCACCAGGGCTGGGCGCTGGGCAGCAGAGTGGGAGGACAGGCGAGAAAGTAACTATGGGGGTGGGAGGGTGAGGAGAGAGCACAAGGCAGGGGTGAACGGCTTGAAGTGAGAGCCCCTTGGGTAGTGTCCCTGCAGAGCAGGGCTGTGTCTTAGTCTGCTGAGGTCAGAGAGGTCAGGACCCAGGGCAAAACAGCCCTGTCAGGACCTGAGACTCAGATCTCGAATTGGGCAAGGGTTTCTTAGATATGACACCAGGCAAGAAGTTGGACTTCCCAAAAGATACAAATGACATCATCAGGAAAAGAAAAAGTGATTTGAAAGGACAATCTAGAGGAGAAAACTGGGTCCAGAATATATGAAGAAGCCCTACAACTCAACAACAAAGACACTAACAACCCAAACAATGAGGGGCAGAAAGTCAGGACAGATGCATTCCCAAAGAAGATACCCAGGTGGTGACAAGCACATGACAAGATGCTCAACATTAGTCATCAGGAAAATGCCAGCCACCAGGGTCAGGACCACGGGGACACCACTTCCCGCCCACCAGGGTTAGAGCCACGGGGACACCACTTCTCCCACCAGGGTGGCTACAATCCAAGAGATGGAAAACTGCAAGAGTAGGAGAGGATGTGGAAAAATTGGGATCCCCAGACACTGTTGGGAACATAAGACAGGGGAGCCACTTTGGAACACAATCTGACAGCTCCTCAAAAAGGTGACCACAGAGTCACCACATGACCCTGCAACCCACTCCTAGGTATATAACCAAGAGAAGAAAAAACATGGCCACACAAATTTGTACACCAATGTTCACAGTATCATTACTGAAAGCATCCCCAAGCTGGATACCACCCAAATGGCCATCAGCAGATGATAGACAAACAGAATGTCGTCCATGCACACATCAGAATGCGTCTCAGCCACAGAGAAGGATGACAGGTGAACCTGGGAAATAGGACACTAAGGGAAATAAGCCGGATACAAAAGACTACACACGGACTGACCCCACCGAGATGAGCTGTCTGAGGCAGGCAGGGCCATCGAGATAGAAAATGGACTCATGGTTGCCTGGGCTAGGGGGTGGGAAGTGATGGCAGACAGCACTTAGGGGTGATGAAAAGGTTTGAAAATTGGTTGTAAATTCTGTGAATTCACTGAAAATCATCAAATTGTCCACTGAAAAAGAGGATGGGAGGAAGGGGCTGGGGTCTGTGGTTGTCCCTATTGTCCCGCCTGGGTGACCCAGGCACCTCCATCCTCACTCACAAACTGAACTTCCTGCTTCCCATGTCACTGCCTGACCCTGTGAACCTGGAAAGGTGCTTGAGAGGGAGGGAGGACTCAACCTCTTGTGACAAGAGGCTGGTGCAGGGCCCCGGGTGAGGCTGGTGCGGGGTCCCAGGCCATAAGTAGTCCAAGGGGAGTGGCACCTCACCAAGACCCACTGAGACCCTCAAAGGGCCACCGAGAGCCACAGACCTGGTTCAGGGGGCATGTGGTCCCTGGGCCTCTGCACTGACTGCTGGCATGCCCTGGTGGAGACTCCCATAGCACATGACAGGACTAGACTTCTGTCCCATCCCACAGGGACACCCCTGACCCTGGGGCAACCCAAAGACTATTCAGTACCCAGCAGCATATCTAAGATATTCACAGAAGTTCTTGCCCTTTACATGGAAAACTGGGGACCATCTTTGGTCCCTGGAGAGTAGGGTGCCCTTCCCACCCTCAGAGCTGTGGCATCAAGTAGAACCCCACGCCTCTGACTACCATGAACAGAGCAGAAGGTCTGTCTTGTCCAAAAGTTCTTGGAGGTGGGAAGAGAGAACCAGCAGCCCATCACTCTGTGAATGTCCCCTGACTCACTGTCCCTTCACAGCTGCCCCCTTTCAGCCCTTCAGGATCTGGAAGGGCCCTGGAGTTTCTGCTGGGGCTTCACCCCCGCTCCCCAGCCCCTTACACCAGCACCAGCTGTCCCCAAGGACCTGATCCCCTGCAGCAACATCTGCTGCCCTGCTTGTTTGCAAGAGAAACTTGTCACCATATCTTCTGGTATAAGCCTCGACCACAATTTACTAGTGGTAGTCTTCCTAAACCTCTGCCATCGAGGTGATTCTGACTCACAGTGACCCTGCGGGGAAGGGCAGAATTGCCCACAGGGTTTCCAAGGCTGTGACCATTACAGAAACAGACTGCCACATCTTTCTTCTGCAGAGCAGCTAGTGGGGCTCCTGCCTAATGCCCCGGTCATCCCCCATCACCCCTGCAGCTCACCTGCAGAGCTTGGATAGCATTGTGGTAACACACCAGCTCTCCATAGCCATTCCTGGAATTCAGCGCCAGGCGATGCCACATGTGGGCCAGGTACTCCTCACTCTCATCCTTGAACTTGTGTGTCTCCATTGAGAAGTTCTGGCCAAGCTTGGCCTTCACAATCACCATGTGCTTGAAAATCAAGCTGCAGGAAAAGGGAGGCTGTCACTGCCCAAGCTGACCGATGGAGCTGAGCCCCTACAGCAACCCACTGTGACCTTAACCACGTCATCTGTCCGTCCACCTTAACTGTGTCACCTGCCCGTCCACCTTAACTATATCACCTGCCCGTCCACCTTAGCTGCATCACTTGTCTGTCCACCTTAACTATGTTATCTGTCTGTCCACCTTAACCGTGTCACCTGTCTATCCACTTTAACTATGTCTTAACTATGTTACCTGTCTGTCCACCTTAACCACATCACCTGCCCGACCACCTTTACTATTACCTATCTGTCCACCTTAACCGAGTCACCTGCCCATCCACCTTAACTGTGTCACCAGTCCATCTATCTTAACTATGTTACCTGTCCGTCAGTCTTAACCATGTCACCTGTCCATCCATCATCACTGTATGTGTGCACATGCACATGTGTGCATGCATGTGCATGTGTGTGCTGAATGGGAACCTGCCCAGAGATGCCTCTCTCAGACGCATTTGAGAAAGGCCTAGACTGCAGTGGGAGAGTGTGTGTGTGCAAGCATGTGAGGGTGAGCATGTGTGACTGCGAGGGTGCATATCTGAGTGGGCATGTTTGTGTGTGCATGGGCATGCTCTGGGAGGTCCATGATGGTGGGAAGGTACAGGATTAAGCGCACGCACGTGTGTGTGTGTGTGTGTGTGTGTGAGCGCGCATGTGTTTGGGAGCATGTCTGTGCACATGCACTTGTATGTGTGTATGAGCGTGTGTGTGTGCTTGGGCAGTGCATGCATGGGCGTGCTCGGGGAAGCCTGTGGCACCAGGGAAGGCTCTGGGTCTGCCCCCAGGCAGTGGGCAGCCAGGATAACGAGGGCTCTGGCTGGGCCGGGGCACTCACAGGCGGTGGGGTGTCCGTGGCAGCACCTGAGCAGCCTCACCCAGCACCTTGAGGCCGCCCTCCCAGTCACCGTGGTCGGC